GTCTTGTTCTTGCTCAGGCTGGTCTCAAACTCTCTCAAATCAAGTGATGCTCCCGCCTCGGCCTCCCAGAGTGCTAGGATTGCAGGCGTGAACCACCTCATCTGGCTCCGGCCATGACTTTTAAATAAAATGATGCCCATGGAGCTTTTAGTATAGTGTCTGGTGTATTATAAGAGTTCAATAAACATTAGCTCTTGTTATTATCATAATTAATGCTAATACTATGTATCTTTATACTTTCCTTCTCTCAGAGGAATTTGGTACTAATTTACCAACTAATTGACTTTGAGCAGGTCACTGGGCCTCTGTGTTTCCCATCTCTAAGATGAGAATGCCAGCATACCTCTTTTAGTAAAATTTGAATTTGAATGCCTTAAGGACGGATGTGGTAGTTTGCTGCTGCCCTGCCTGGTCTGTGAAGGCTTCTGAGTTTGTAGCATATGCCCTGTGGTCTTCACCTACCACACTGGGAAACAGAATAGGTGCATGGAATGAAATTGATGCTTAATATCTCTCCAACTCTAGTTTACTTGTTTATATTCAGCCCAAAGCAGGAATTATTAAGCAAATAATTGATCTGATATGTGTAAAAAGTGATCTGCTAAACCCAGGAGATTAAACCAAAGAATCAGAAGAAAATTGAAAAAATAATTATAATCTCAGATCTTTGAGCAGCCACAAAAATTGTCCAGTATTGGTTCCATTGTATTCTCTAGTCATAACTATTCTTGTCACCTATTTCTAAGCCTCAGTAACTTCTGGTAGACTAGTGGTCTCCAACTTTTCTTTTTCTTTTCTCTCTCTCTGTCTCTCTCTTTTTTTTTTTAAACAATTTTGGGTTTTTAAATTGAGGCAAAATCCACATAATATAAAATTAACCATCTTTCTTTTTCTTTTTCTATTTAAGTTTTTATTTTCTGTTTTGAATAGGTAATTACATTCATATGGCCCAATTGTCAAAACAATATAACAAGATCTACATTGTGAGGACTCACTCCTATTCCTGTCCCCATCTTACCTATTCCATCTCACACCCCTTAGGTAACTGCTTTTATTAGTTTCTTATGTATTCTTTCAGATTCTTTCAGTATTTCTTTATGCAGGTGCACGCAAATAGGAATGTATATTTTATTCCTCCCTCTTTTCACACACAAAAAATAGCATGCTATATGTGTATTATGTACCTTACTTTTCCCATATAATACATATAAAACACAATGTCTTTCATGTTGGTATACAGAGAGCTTCCTCATTCTTGTTTTAATTTGTAGATCAAGATATTCCATTGTGTATATGGTTTATATAACAAGATCTTTCTTGATGTATCCAACATTTTTTGATTATATACCTCCATTAGTTAAGAAAAAATAAGCATGCACTCCCAATATATGTCTAATGATAAATTAAATTATATACATAAAGCACTATCAATCCCTGTAAACAAACTTAATGTCTTACATTTGTAGCTTAAAAATAATTCAAATGGAGGGTATGGTCATTTCTTTCTTCACTGAATAGATCATCTCTGCATCTTCAGGTGTATGTACTCTCCATTCTGAAACTACACTTTGGACTAGTTAATGGATACAGAAGCTTCTAAGCACAAGGTCTAGTGTGTAGTCAATGGCAAGTTTGAATTAAATGAACCTGAACAAAGAGCTCCTGTTTCCTTCCTCCCACAAATCTCTTCTGAATATCTACCTACTGAATTACTTCAGGCTTTTGAGAGGGTATTATCATCTAAAATGCCTCCCTCCTTAATCTCTCCACCTTAGTTTTTTATCTCTAAAATGAGAATGATTATGCCTGGTTGGGAGACTTGATTGAAATGAGGTAATCCATATGAAACCACTTTATCAATTCCAAACATGTAGGGAATTATTTTTACTGCTATTATTAATTGTGATCTGTGTATACTTCTATGCAAGAAATCTTTAATTCCCATTTTCTAGAGAAAATAGTTTCAAATAGATATGGTAGGGGGATTTGTTGAAGGATTTGATGTAAGAACCCAAAGGATAGAGCTGCCTGAAGGTATTGAACCTTGCTCACAGTGATTTTTTTGACTTTCCTCTTTTGTAGAGTCCTGATACAGTCAAGGCCAAGTTGATCTCTCGGATGGCTAAAATGGGCCAGCCCATGCTGCCCATCCTTCCACCACAGCTGGATTCCAATGACTCAGAAATTGAAGTATGTCCCCCTGGCTGAATTAGAATGAATAGTCCAAATGGTGCCATTTTCTGTTCCTTTGGTTGAAATGATTACTTTTTCTGCTTCTAGCCCAGAATCATTTAAAGGGCTTGTAGGCAAAATGATACAGATTGCTGATGGTCCATTGTTTCTACTGCCATTGGCATTGCCCCTGAGAGATGGAAGCAGTTCCATACATTTACTAGAATCTCTATTGTCATAGAGATCATTCTTTAGGCAGCATTGACGCCCAATTCATAGCAGGTGCTTAATTTATATTAGTTGATTGAATGTTTAGATCCTTTTGGGAAATGCTAATCTTCCCACTCATGTTGCCTATTACTAAAGATCAAACTGCTATGTCTTTTGATTTTGTATGTGGCAGTTTTGTTTATTTTATTTAGAAATTCAAGAATTGAATTGAAATCAGATCTATCAATTTTGTCCCCTTGTTTCTTGCCTTTGACATTTTGCTTAGAAAGCCTTCCTACTTTCAGATATTGCAAATATCACATATATTTTGAAAAATATTATTTCATATTTTGATCTAAATTTTTAATTCATTTTGAATTTGGTGTTGTGTGCTATGAAGTAACTTAATTTTAACTTAATTCTTTTTCCAATGGTTAGCTCCTTATTGAATAAAACCATCCTTTCTCAATAGGATTGATATACATAACCAAGATCGAATTTTAAAATTCTTCCACTTCGATGTAAAATGAAGAAAAGGTGATGCTCTTGAGAAAAAATTTTCTGAAATAGGCTTTACATATTTTACAATTTTGGTTTATTTCTTCCTGGAAAAGCTCTAAGTATAGTAGATTTAACATTTTAAAGGAAGATAGGATTTCTGAGTCTTACTGTTTTAGGATTAATTTTTATCTGGTCTGGAAATGAAATTTGAATAAGATAATATTCTTATTAAAAATTTTATATGCTATTTATTCATTGTAGAATAATTTAAAATCATAGATAAAGAAGAAATATACTTCACAAAAGGGCATTCTTCTTTATATATTGCTTTGTAACCTGATTTTTTTTTTGTTTTGGGACAGAGTCTCGCTTTGTTGCCCGGGCTAGAGTGCCATGGTGTCAGCCTAGCTCACAGCAACCTCAGACTCCTGGGCTCAAGCGATCCTCCTGCCTCAGCCTCCCGAGTAGCTGGGACTATAGGCGCTCTCCATCCACAGCTGGCTAATTTTTTCTATTTTTAGTAGAGATGGGGTCTTGCTCTTGCTCAGGCTGGTCTCGAGCTCCTGAGCTCAAGTTATCCTCCCACCTTGGCCTCCGAGAATGCTAGGATTACAGGCATGAGCCACTGTGCCCAGCCTCGTAACCTGACTTTTTAACCTAAGTTTATATCATAAACATTTAGTTAACATAAATAATATAAGTAAATAAAGCAAAATATTGTTAGTTTAAAGGTAGCCTAGTGTTCTATTATGTCAATTTATCGTAATTCCTTTCACTCTATTGTTAGACATTTGGGTTGGTTTAGAGCTGTAATGATCTAAAACTTGGATGCTTTTCCAGAAGAGAATATCATGGGACAAGGGGAAGTTCTAAATTAGTAAAAGAATGTCAAAGATACTTCAGCCCTTAAACTATAGCATAGCAGATTACAGTCACTATATATTGTGTCTCAAGATTTTCTCTTTCTGTATGAAGCTGGAAGATTTAAAATCACTTTGTTTAGAGTTATAGCTTTCATTTTATGAAAAGAAAGAATGGGGGAAAAACAGTCTAAAACTATATAGCATGTTATGAGGTGCAATGAATCCCACTCTTATCTGATTTTCACTGAGTACCTAGAGGCCTATGGAGATTATTTGACAGAAGTGAAGAGGCTGGATTATTCCTTGCAAGAGACTCCTCTTTTGTGGGAAAGATTAGATCAGTCTCGAGGTAGCTGCTGGTTTGGAAAATGATATATTCTAGAGAGCAGTTAGTTTAGCTGCTTCAGAAAATAAAACATCAACAATTTAGAATATTTGTACAAATTAACTATGTTTAATTATTTGATAATGATTTACAGGGAGAAGGGCATAGTAGAGTGCTTTCTCCTCACAACCCACACTCCAAACTCTTGGACTTCATTTCTTGCTTGCCTTTTCTTTCTCTTCTTTACCTAGAAACCCTGTTTTGGAAGCAGGTTTGGGGCAGACAGTCAGCCTCAGTCTTCAGTGAAGGACTCATACAGAGTAACTAAAATCTTCCTGCCTGTTTCAGGATGTGAATGCTCTGCGAGGAGTCGGGCAGCCCATGGTGACTCCGTCCGTCCAGCCCTCTCTTCAGCCAGCCCATCCAGTGTTACCACAGATGACCTCACAGGGTAAGAAACCTCTCTGAGGCTCTGTGCCTTGAACTGGGTCAGCACCAAAATTATCATCACTGTTCCTTAAATTGTCAGGCTACATTTTTTTAGTACTGAAGACTGCACTAGAATGTAAAAAACTTGTCAGTTTGCCCCTGGGTAGGGCATTTTCAGATCAGCAGATGTATTTGGCCTGCTTGTTATGACTTCTGCTGTGTTATGTTGTCAGTTTTGGAAGTCTGCACTCAGCTATTGAGACATCACCCTGTGTGTTATTCTGTGCTTCCTGTCAGCTGATGGGATCGTAGGGCTGGCTGAGTCAGAAGCACATGGGAACACCCAGTTTCCTTGTAGTGGCCCATTGCTGAGATGCCTGTAGAGCTGGTTTTAGGAGATGAGGTGAGGAAAATGGTAGAGTCTGAAGCGTGATGGTATGTAGGTGCTGGCCCAGACTTATACCAAGAAGCAGGGATGGGTAACAGTGAAAACATCTTGCTTTATCGTAGCACCTCAGCCACCTGTTTCTGGGCTCCAGGCTCCTTCTGCTGCCTTAATGCAAGTTGCATCTCTCGATTCCCACTCAGCTGTATCTGGAAATGCCCAGTCCTTTCAGGTAACATTTTAGAACCATATCAATTATATGCTATAATTTATTATGGTTCCAGTCAGTTACTTTTCTTCTTCTTGCACAATTCATACAGTAGCAGTTGCCCAAAGTCAGAGTTTTGTAATTTTTTCCCTTCCTGAATCACCACTTTCTAATCTCTAAACCAGACAAAGTATTACTTACTTTAACAGGTTGTTGTAGAGATTAAAGGCAAGAACAAGCAAAGCACCTGGTACAAGGCCTGGGCCTGGCACATAGTAAAGCTCCAATCAATGTTCGTTTCCTTTTCTTTTCATACATATCTAGTTGAGAGGTATCTGTTCATGTCTTCTGTGTTCTTTTCTATCAAAAGTTGATAGGCTAACATTCTGCACTATACTCAGCAGACAGGTTATGGGTTGAGGATGGGACTGTATGGGAAATAAAGCTGGACTCTGCTGTCTAGTTATCCTCCAAAAGTGATTTTGAAAGAAGATTTTCTTCCTGTTATCACAGAAGAAATGGTAGCAGCCTATCTGCCTCTGCTCATCTTTGCCAGGGTAGTAAACTCTTTCTTCTGCTTCAGTACACTCTCAATGATAACAGGGATTCACTTCCTTTGTGATTTTTTTTTTTTTTTTGTAAGACAGGGTCTTGCTCTGTCACCCAGGCTGGAGTATAGTAGTGTGATCATAGCTCACTGCAGCCTTGAACTCCTGGGCTCAAGCGATTCTTCTGCCTTAGCCTCCTGAGTAGCTGGGATCATAGGTGTGAGTCACCACATCCAGCCCCTTGGTGATTTTTAAGGGAGGGGTGGGGGTGATGGTGGGCAGGCTGTGCCCCATTAGGATGGGGAGTATCAAAACTGACTTAAGTCCTACTATTGCCCTCTTTCTACTCACCCCTCACCCCTCCATGGAGAATTACTATCCTATACACCAAGACTTTTTTTTAATGGATGGATAGTTATATCTGTCCCTGAAAATGAGCTAGATTTTCTTATTTCAAGGAAGAATAACCATCCTTTTATCTTTCAGGCACATAACTTACCAGCTGTTAGGAACTGTACCTATATCGCTTCATTTAGTCCACACAGCAGCCCTATGAAGTGATATTATTATATCTTCATTTTATGGTTCAGGTGACTGAGGTTCAGAGGAAAATGAGAGCCCTTGGTTACACAGATAAGCATCAGACTCTAGCGTGGAAGAGACATGCTTTGCAAACTGGCAGATTTGGTTTAGAATCTCAGTGAATGCTTTGTCTTTTAACTCAATGAAAACCTAACAGTTTAATTAGTTTTAAAATTTTAAAATTTCTTAGACAATAGGCCTGATAGTGGGAAGTGACTCCCTGCTTAATTAAATCATATCTCTAGAGGACTGGGTAGTGACCCAAGATACCGTTGCCTCATTTTCTGGGTAGGACTTCAGTGACTGAGTTCCACTGGGTTACATAGATAACTCACTTGCTGAGGATCTTACCCACTGCCAAACCCTGATCTCGCCATTTCTCCGGCTTCAATAAGTTTGAGTTTCTTCCAAGCTTACTGACTCTATTCCACTGAAGAGAACTGTAAGCAAAAAGAGAGAGCCCTGAATATTTTATAAATGAGTGGTAACTTGGCACTGTCTCAGCCCTATGCAGGTCTGCAAGCCTACGCTTATCCCCAGGCATCAACCGTCAACTCCCAGCTGCAGCCTGTTCGGCCCTTGTACCCAGCAGCACTCTCCCAGCCTCCCCATTTTCAAGGTAGGGAGTGATTCCCTCTGTTTCTCATCTTCCACTCTTGCTGCTCTCCTTCCCATTTCATTTTCATTTTTCCTCCAACAGCTCTCTACCTATTGTTTCTTTTTAACAGCTTTGTTGATATTCCCTATAATTCATTCATTTTAAGTGTGCAATTCGAAGATGTTTTAGTGAATTTGGCAGAGTTGTGCATCCATGGCTATAATCCTATTTTAGAACATTTCTATCATCCTCCAAAGTCCCCTTGTACCTACTTTCTGTGTTTTGTTTCTTGCGTATTCTCCCACCAGCTCTTTTAATTCTTCTGTCAGAATGGCTAGAGTTTATAAAAAATAGTAAAAGAGCAAAACATTGGAGGAAATTGGGAAAAAGCATGAAGACTGGTGTTCAATATCTCAAAGCCACTTTTAAAAAATTTTTAAATTATGAAAATAATATACTTTTATTAAAGTGTCAGATAATGCAAAAGCGTAGGAAGTGAAAAGTTACTGTCCTTCCCATCGTTAATCCCCACTGACCATGGGAAACCATTGTTAACAGTTACTTGGGTAACTTTTTAGATATTGTGCATGTGTCTCATGTAAAAAAAATGTGACAAAATAAAATGTAAACTGCTGTGATGGAATCCTGCCTTGTTCAGCTGTTTGTCTTTTGCTTAGTGGTCACCTTTGGTATAGGACAGTGGTAGGAAGAAGCCAGTATGTCCTACAACATAATTTGTGGTTCTAGAGTGGTCAGGAGTCCCTGGATACAGCCTTTGTCTGGAAGCTCTCCCCTTTCCATCTAGGGAACACTTTTTTATCCATCAAAACTGTCATCTTCTCTGTGAAACTTCCCTGTTATCCATCCCTCCATCTTCTCCTCTCACAGACTCAACTGTGTATGTGTATTGCCAAAGAGTTAATCTTGCTTTTCTCTGTGCTACTTTTGTACCTAGTACATGGTCCACTTTTGCACTTAAAACATTCTGTTGTAATGATTTGTTTACATGTCAGTCTTCCTACCAGACTGAGAGCTTGCCAAGGGCAGGAACCATATGTTATTCATTATTGTATCCCTGTACCTAGTACAATGCCTGGCATGCAGCTGGATGAATGGGGAAGCAATATGAGCTGCCAGTGCTTGTGCTCTTGGACCAGACTGTAGCCTTCCATGCATTTTGCAGGAATATAGCTTAGTTATTGTTCACTTTGGAGTCCTTTTACCTTCACTGTCTCCTCTACATCTCTTCCTGACAGTGTGAAATCACTTCTAGCATTTCCTAGTACATACATGCAAGAGTTCATTTCTTTCTTCCCTCTGCTAAAAGAGCTGCCGGCTTTTCCTCATACAGTTTCCTCTCCTCTAGTTTTATAAATTTCTTTTTGGCTTATGTCTGTTTAGGATCAGGTGACGTGGCTTCATTTCTCATGACTGAAGCCCGGCAACATAACACTGAAATTCGAATGGCAGTCAGCAAAGTGGCTGATAAAATGGATCATCTCATGACGAAGGTGACTGAGGGTTGGGGCTGTGTTGAGAGTGGGGTTATGAACAGAGATATATGTAAATAGGAAGCAGCTAGAGCTATAGGTAAACTCTTCTTGGGTTTCCTGTATTCGTAGTAGTTAGTGATTTCCCTAGAAGGATAGCTATAATTATTTTGGGATCCAGTTAGTAGGAGAAAACTCTAGCTTACATTTGGTGGTTATCTCAGAAACTCATTAACCCCTTTAAAAAAGCGGTCAGATCTTGGGTAAATTGTATTTCTTCATTTTAAACTTTCTCACAAGGTCTTTCTGGCATCTTTTTTGTAGGTTGAAGAGTTACAGAAACACAGTGCTGGTAATTCCATGCTTATTCCTAGCATGTCAGTTACAATGGAAACAAGCATGATTATGAGCAACATCCAGCGAATCATTCAGGTGAGGGTGATTGTGGATAGAACACTCAGCCTCAAGTCTTGCCCATGCTCTCTCCCCAGATATACTACCCTTTAATACCTCCAACCCAGAAATAGCATGTGATAAATGCTACACTGAGTTAAAAAATTCTGGAGAATTCATTATGGCATAATTTGGTCCAAGTGACTTATCACTATATAGTCAGAAGGAAACATTGCTTTTTGACCATACTTCAGAATTTTCACTTCATTTTATAGCCATTTATATACTCAATCCAATGGACCTAGTGATTTGTATCCGTCAAGTATAATTTGACGTGTTGTTTTAATTAATATATCTATGTGGACATAGTTCTAGTTTTTTGTCTCAAAATATGTTAACAATGTTACCTGTCAGTTTAAATTTATTCCCTTTTATCTGGCACTTTTCTCTTAAGACATTTAAATTGTACATCATATATTTTGACTTTAGGAAAATGAGAGATTGAAGCAAGAGATCATTGAAAAGAGCGGTCGGATAGAAGAGCAGAATGACAAGATTAGCGAACTAATTGAAAGAAATCAGAGGTAATGACAGGTATGGGGCCTGGCTGGGATGGACAAGTTAAACACACATGTTTTTTTAGGGCTGTACACATTTCTGTTTCTACCTGTCACGTGAATTATTGCCTTTTTTCCAAGAGGCATTTTGATAGAAAGAGCTCAGTAGGCTGTGACGTAAGGCAGACCTGTGTTTGACTCCTGCTCTGCCCTTATTCATTGTGTGGCTTTGGGCATTTTATTTATTCCCGCCGGCCCCAGTTTCCTTGTCTGTAAAACTGGTATTAACACTTAGAAAATTCTGGTATCACCTCTTCTTTCTTCTGTGTGGGCTGACTCTATTTTATCAACCAGAACTTAACCAAAACCTCACCGATTCCCGTATAAAACCCAAGCATTTCGTAATTTTTGTAGATTCTTCTGAAGATGTGGGGGAGTCAGTGGAGCTTATCACAACACAGCATTTCAGTTTAAAAATCATTCTCCCATATTTCTCCTCCCTGATGTTTCATCTCCCACGTAGCAGGGTTGGGGGAGTGGCTTTCTCTTGTACTCTCCTCCTTCTTGCAGCTTTCTTACTCCTATCTCTTTCCTCCCTCATTCCCCATTACGACACACCCTTCGAATTCTTCTCCTCTGGCCCAGGTTCCTGCCTCCAAACTGGATTACTACAGCTCTAAGGAAAGCACTGCTTTCAGATTACTTTTGATAAAGGTATAGAGCAATGTTGAGGACTGAATGGGCATTGGGTTGTGCCTGGCATATATTCCATGCTTGGTACATGTTATCTTTTTTTCTGTTTCTTTCACAGATATGTTGAGCAGAGTAACCTGATGATGGAGAAGAGGAACAACTCCCTTCAAACAGCCACAGAAAACACACAGGCAAGAGTATTGCATGCTGAACAAGAGAAGGTAAAGTAACTGGAGAGAGAAAAGCCCAGGTCAGGATGGGTGGAGCTAAGGAGTGGTCCCATCTACATACTTACCAATCGGCTTTCCAGCAGAATTTCTGCCATCATTGGGAAAAGAACTAGAAATCTCGCAACAGGTTTTTCATATGTCCATCATCCACGTTTCTGTTTTATAATATGCTTTGCAGTACGTTGACTCAAAAACAATTACTGATCTCAATAATTTGATTAGGGTAAGAATTACACAGCTTATTAGAAATTAAATTTATTCTGTTGACAAAATAAACAGAAAATTTCTATTAATGCCAGGTAACAAATGTGTAAGTGATTTTTAGTGGAATTTAAGGTTGTTTAATTTGTTCCTTTATCTGTGTTCAGTTTGTTTCTTCATTTGTGTCTACCAAAGCATTTTAAAGTACTACTGTTTGACATCAGTCCTTTTGGAATTAGGAATTTTGAGCTGTTCCTGAGTAAGGCAGACTCTAGTGGGTCTTGGGTTAGGATCTACTGATTCTGAAGCCAACTCCTCCTCTCCTTGCTCCAGTGACACTGTTTATCCAGGGTGGACTCCTTCTTGTTTGGGTTGCCACTCCTGAACTAGGAGATCTTGAAGCTTTCATCTGCTGTTTTCTCAGAGGTTTAAGAAATAGTTTGAATTCTGTATTTGCGTTTTCCTTAAAAGTGTGAAAAATTGAATGGAATGCTTTTATAACTTGTGTAGTTTACTCATTGTCTTGTATTCTGGCAATGTTGGGGATTCCTTACTTATATTAAATATCTTACGGTAATCTTTGTGTTTCCTTAGCCATAGTATCCAGAAAAGTACTGGCTTTGACCCCTTATCCTCAGATAAACCATGCGTAGCCCTGCACAGCCCTGTCCAGTCCTGACCCTGTTCCATTTCCACTGCTCCTTTACACCATCCCTTGTTTATGTAGCTGACTCCCAATGCCTACGTCAAGATCAGCAGCCTGTGACATTGTTATCGTTAAGTGGTAGCCCCCACTAAATGCACTGTTTACTATTTCTCCTTCTTCTACTTTTATCTCAGAATGAAAACTAAGTATTCTTAAGCCACACCTCTACAGATTCTAATTTAGCATATCTAGCCAAAGTCTGAATCTGAATTTTTAAAAAGCTGCAAGAATCACTGCTCTTGTCAGTGATGTCTTTTGTTACAATCTCTAGAGGTGGGAGCTGGACACCTTTGTTTTTAATAAAGTGTTCAGCATTTGACTCTCATGTTCAGTATTACTGTTTGTGTGTCTGTGCGTGTGCACATCAATAAAAGTTTATTTACAAAAACAGGCAGAAGGCTAGATTGGCCCATAGATCATAGTTTGCCAACCCCTGAATCAGCTCATTTATCTACCCAAATGTTTTCATGTTGATAAACCCCACAATGCACTGTGTCTGGCACAGTGCATTGACCCTGGTCCATGCTCTATTTATAATAGCAGAAACAGAAGTAGTAATAATAATAACAGTAATCACCACTGACATCTGCCAAATACCCACTGTGTTCTAGACACTGTGCTTCACACAGATCTATTTGAGGAAATCTTCTGGGCTGAGTGTTACTGTTCTTGATGTCTACTCTAGGGTACCAATCACTACATGCTTCACTTGGTCACCTTTATCTCAGTGAAACTTTTTAGGCCTTGACTCTCCCCTGTTTTTCTTTTGATTGACTTCTCACTTACCAGTCCTTCCCCTGTGATCTCTCCTTTTAAAGGGAGATATGCAAGGTCCTTTCATCCCTGGATACAGTTGTCTGCCTTTAAATACAGCTCAGAAAGGTATGGTTCAGTGCTCAATAAATATTTGATAAATGCAATTATTTTTCTCTATGATAGGATTAATACTACCACATAGAACCATGGGATAATGGTTAAAACTGGAAGGGTTATTAGAGGTCATCTAGTTGAATCTTATTTTGCAGAGGGACAAACTGAGGCCCAGAGAGGATAAAAGACTCACCTAGGACCATACTTCCAGTCAGCTGTGTTCTTTTTCCTATGTCAAATTGCCATCTCTCTTTGGTGTTATTTTCCTGCTTCTAACTTGAATGCTTTTTTCACTCATTTCTCTGAACTCTTGGTTCTTCCTATCATCGTTTTTTTCCCCCAGCTTTCCATGTCGAGCATTTGATCCAGGGTGGGAATCAGAGAGCCGTCCCACCCACTGTACAGGTTTTTGGTGCTTTCCTTTCTCACTTGATATTGTGTACACTGTCTTTTAGAAAAAATTGTAATTATATATATATAAATACACACATACATACCTATATACACACATGCACATATATACACATACTTTTTTTCTGATTATAAAATTTACATCTGTTCATTCTGGAAAATTTAGAAAATACAGATAGGCAAACATAAAAGATAAGTCACCCATAATCCTTTCACTCAAAAATAATCATTGTTATTTAATAATATATTTTTCATTCCTTTACTGTTTTAATTTTTATGCTTCTTTTATTTTTTTTAATTTATTTATTATTTACTTATTTTTAAATTTTCATTATTTATTTAATTAGTTAGTTAGTTATTTTTAGAGATGAGGTCTTACTGTGGTGCCTGGGCTGGTCTCAAACTCCTGGCCTCAAGCAATCCTCCTGCCTCAAGTGATCTTCCCTCCTCAGCCTCCCAAGTAGTTGGGATTATAGGCGTGAGCCACTGCACCCGGCTGGGAATTTTTGTGCTTCTAAGAGGCCTTTCTAAAGACCTGAGATAAAAAGAGCTTTTGGGTGACCTTCGACTCTGCTTGTCTTTTGGCAAGACAGTGACCGTCCATTCCATTGCTTTTCCTTTGGAATTTATCCCTTCTAGTGGTCTGGCTGCTGCAAGGCCTTGTGAAAGTGGTACTTGCTCGGATATTAGTGAGCTCTCTGAGCTCTGAGTTACTTCAGTTTTCATTAGGCCATTTGAAACAGGACAATGAGTAAAACCTTCATTCTTCTTGGGACAGATGGAAGCCACTCATATCTGGAAGTTCTAAATGTCATTTGTGTTTAACAGGTGAAAACCTAAGGCTGCTGAACAGCAAAAAATAAGTATCTTAGAGCTTACTCCAAAGGTCACATATACTCTCAGATACTCATACATAGCCTATTTATTTTAATTTTATATACAATTTTACTTTGTTTTATTTCCCCTACGTTTAGGAGAGTCAAAATATCAGATTTTATTTATTTATTTATTTTGAGACAGAGTCTCACTCTGTGCCTGGGCTAGAGTGCTGTGGTATCAACCTAGCTCACAGCAACCTCAAACTCCTGGGCTCAAGCGATCCTGCTGCCTCAGCCCCCCGAGTAGCTGGGACTACAGGCATGTGCCACCATGCCCGGCTAATTTTTTCTATATATTTTTAGTTGTCCAGCTAACTTCTTTCTATTTTTAGTAGAGACGAGGTCTTGCTCTTGCTCAGGCTGGTCTCGAACTCCTGACCTCGAGCGATCCTCCCACCTCGGCCTCCCAGAGTGTTAGGATTACAGGTGTGAGCCACCATGCCTGGCCAAAATATCAGATTTTAAATGGAAGCTAGAAAACTGATAAAGGCTTTGGAATAAGGCAAGGAATAAGTATGTTTAAAACAGGTGGGCACAGTGAACACTGTAAGGAGGGACAAATGATAAGAAAGTGTACAACTATAAAAATTTATGTATAGTAGAAAAGTATAGGAGCAGTATGCTTTTGGTACAAATGGTAGTAGCAATATAATAGTATAGGAGAGATAGTCCAGCCCCAGAAATACATAGATTTCAAAATTCAAGACTGGTTGTCTACAGAGCAACCACTCACTGTCTTTTCTGTCATCTGATTTCTCCTATATATGATGGGAGCATGTCAGTTCAGGTGAAATGGATATGGTATTTGTCATTTGTTTACCATTCCTTTTTATGGACTATTCTTTTAATCGTCATCGTTATTACCCTTAACACACAGAATATCATTAGAGGGTTTTCCAGAGTAGTCATTTCAGTTTTATCAGATGTTCCTTGAGAATATTTAGGTCCTTTAGAGTGAAGTAGAGCCCCTGTTTGGCTAGTACAGAGCACCATTCAAAATACATTGAGCAGTCAAGGAAGCTAAAGTGTTCCCTTCTTTTATTAGCTTTGTTCTTCCAAGGTCACCCAAAGCAGTTACTCTCATGTGACTGGTCTTTACAACATTACAGTACTACCAGTAGTACAGTACTTCTAGGAAAGAGATTGTAGACTCAGAAGTTGACTACCTTTGAAGGCATTCAATTTAAATTTAAAAATATCCTTTTCTTATTACAAAAAATACATGTTCATCATAGAAAAGTTAGAAAATGTCAGGAATACCATTTTGTCATCTGTCAGACTGTTAGAAATTTAAATTTTTGACAAGTTTTGGTGAGACTGGTAGGAGTGTAGAATGGTTCATGGAGGGGAACTGATGACGTGCAAAATTACAGAAGCATTTACTCTTCGATCTAGCAATTCTGCTTCTGGGAATCTCATAAAGGCACACCTGCACTCAAATGAAGCAACATGTGTCCAGGGTGACTCAATGGTATCTTGTTGTCTAATGAGAAAATACTGGAAACAATCCAAGTGTCCTACAATAGAGAATAAACTATGTGGTATATTCACATGGTGGAATACCATGCAGTTATTAAAAAAAAAAAAAAAAAGGAGGAAGATCTATACATACTAATACAGAATGTTTGCCACCTTTGTATGTGAAAGGGGGAGAAATAAAAATCATATTAGTATTTGAATAAAGAATCACTTTATACAAAATGCAAAATAAATTATTATATGGTTACCTTTGTGAGGCAAGGGAGAAGAAATAGATGGGGATAGGTATGGAAGCAAGACTTCCCATTGTTTACTTTTTTCTATCTTTTTAATTTTTGAGCATAGGAAACATCTTTTCAAAAAAATTATTTACAGAACAATATATATATGTGTATACATAAAGTCTGACAAGCAATAAGAAAACATAAAGGACTCATAATTCTATCTAGATTACTACTAAAAAGCATATGTCATTCAAGCTCTTTTTCATATAAATAAATGTTCCATTTTATAAAAATGGAGTTATATCCAACATTATTTGATAATCTACCTATGTTCTTCATTTAACAATAGATTGTGACTATATTCCATGCCACTAAGTATTCTTTTACAAAAGCATTTTTAATAGCTGCATACAGAATAGATATATCATATAATAATTTGCTTAATCAAGCCCATTTTCAGCATTTTATTTTAGTTTTCCATGCTTTTACGACTATAAACAATGCTACATTTGAACATACTTGTAGCAAAATTTTTTGTATTAACAATCCTGTATAATATTTCCTAAGGACAAATTTCTGCAATTGAATTCTTGACTCAGAGACTTTGTGTATTTTAAGGCTTGAATTTGTTTTAATGCAGGTTGAAGGTAGCCTTAACTCCCTTCCTGTCTACGAGTTCAGTCAGCATAGAATTATGTGAGGTTGGGTCATCACATAGAGACAAAGAACATCTATGTTTAAAGTGATGTCTTACTTTCTTACTATTCAGGCCAAGGTGACAGAGGAGTTAGCAGCAGCCACCGCACAGGTCTCTCATCTGCAACTGAAAATAACTGCTCACCAGAAGAAGGAAACAGAGCTGCAGATGCAGCTGACAGAAAGCTTGAAGGAGACAGACCTTCTCAGGGGCCAACTCACCAAACTGCAGGCAAAGCTCTCAGGTAAGTACTCAGTGTGGCATGCTGCGATTTTTGCCATTTAAATTTAAGAAATTGAACTATTTTCTTCCTCTCAGTCCTTTTGGCACAATGCTTATGAAGTTTGTGAAGAACTGAGCCAAAAATTAAAGTGGACCAGGATAAAACCTACAAGGTTGTTAGACACAAAGAACAGAAAAAGAACTGACTATTCATTTGGAATTGATCAGTTGCCACAGTTCCCCTTTGTTTGGGGAAGTGTTGCCTTCAATATCTTTGGTACTTATGATTGGCCTCAAATGCCTGGAATGTTGTTCTGGCTCATGACTCAGTGGAAGTTTAAGAAAGAGGTACTTCTTCTTGTGGTTTCCTCTTTCCTGGAAGATGGATTGCAACTCTTCAGCCCGGCACTCACGGCCCCTCCAGCTTGGCTTATCTCCCATTATACTGCCCAATTCCTCCTGGCTCTGGCCATATCAGCAAACCTGGCAACTCTTCAGCATGTTCTATAGTTCTTGTCTTGCTTTTTATCCATGCTATTCTTTGGACTTGGTTTGCCCACCATCACCGGTATTTGCCTTCAGTCTTCTCCAAAATCTGCCTCTTTTAGAAGCTTTCCCAGTTTTTTCTAGGACATTCGATCTCTTTCTCAACATCTTTATCTCTCAGTGCATTATTGTGACCATTATCACAGTTAGCCTTTGATAAGCACCATTTAAATGTCTTTTCCCCTCCAGAATGCAAGCCCTTTGAGGGCAAGGATGGTATTTCGCTCATTTCTGTGAAGTCCCTTCCTCCATATTAGTGTAGTTCAGTGCTTGGCATAAAGGTAGTGCTCAAGATATGGTGATTGGATAGAAGATTTGTGAAGAGCAGCAGGTCGATTCATCTGCCCTGATGTATAAAAACAAATGTGGAAGGCACAGATGGGACCAGTGGGTAGCAGGTAGCTGAAGCAACAGCAGAGTTCAGCAGAAGCAGAAGTTCATTTGCCTAATATAGAGAGCTCAAAAACAATGACTGCAGATGGTAGAGTGCTACCTTGTATAGCGTGACTTAGGCCCATATGAGACAAAACATGTGTTATATAATCTTAGATTTGAATGTTGTACAGATATCTCATTTCTGCTTTTGTGGTGCCTTATGACAATTACCTCAAGGGCCATAAGAGTCAAAAATGTTCCAAACAAATAAATTTTGGTTAATTAAATAAAAAAAAAATTCCAAGGAGCTTTATTTGAGAAGGGATGCTTTGAAACCAAACTCTTGGTAGACTGTCTCAGCTACCAAGAAAGTTGAGACTATCCTACCTAGGCCGTGAGAAAGGGCCTGGATCTGTTGTGAAGGTGGTCCTGACTACTTGGAACATTTCTTTTCCATTTTGTATGTGTAGAAGGCGACACATAGATATAGAGATGACTTTCTACAGGATAAATATGGGTTGGTGGGGAAGTAAGCTTATGGCTTGATAAACCTTATTGCTGGTCAGCGAGGTGATGCGGAAAGAGTGAGCAAAGGCTGCTTGTGTGGTGGGATTAGGAGATGGAAGCAGGAAACTTTGAACGCTGCTGGGATAACACATAGCCCACTGCAGCTGTGGTTTTGCAGCCCAAGTCTCTCTGCTCCTATATCCCAGAGCTCGAAGAAACCTCTGAGCAAGCACAGTCCAAATTCAAAAGTGAAAAGCAGAGCCGGAGACAGCTGGAACTCAAGTTAACATCCCTGGAGGAGGAACTGACCGACCTTCGAACTGAGAAGGAATCCCTGGAAAAGGTAAGTTCTGCAACCCAAGTTTCTCTGTTGGACCCGTGGCCAGGATTAGCTGTTTAATAAACATTTCAATTTTCCTTTTAAAAATTACAATAGTAGGCTGGGCGCGGTGGCTCACGCCTGTAATCCTAGCTCTCTGGGAGGCTGAGGCGGGCGGATTGTTTGAGCTCAGGAGTTCGAGACCAGCCTGAGCAAGAGCGAGACCCCGTCTCTACTAAAATTAGAAAGAAATTAATTGGACAACCAAAAATATATAGAAAAAATTAGCCGGGCATGGTGGCGCATGCCTGTAGTCCCAGCTCCTCGGGAGGCTGAGGCAGTAGGATTGCTTGAGCCCAGGAGTTTGAGGTTGCTGTGAGCTAGGATGATGTCACGGCACTCTAGCCTGGGCAACACAGTGAGACTCTGTCTCAAAAAAAAAAAAAAAAATTACAATAGTATGTGCTCACAGTAACAAAAACAAGTGATAAAGAAAAATATAAAATTAAAAATTTTATCTTTTATCCTTTACCCTCTCTAATCTCATACATTAGAGGTGACAAATATAAACAATATGTGATCATTCCAGATTGTTTTCTGTATGTGTATAACATACACTCACACATGTGCATATACCAATAATATTTTTTAACAATGATGGGATCGTGTTTAATACTTTTTAAAAAAATATTGTGGACATCATATTACATACTAATGAGATCTTTCTCACTCTTTTTTTTTTTTTTTTTGAGACAGAGTCTCACTCTTTTGCCCGAGCTAGAGTGAGTGCCGTGGCGTCAGCCTAGCTCACAGCAACCTCACACTCCTAGGCTCAAGCGATCCTTCTGCCTCAGCCTCCCGAGTAGCTGGGACTACAGGCATGCGCCACCATGCCCGGCTAATTTTTTCTATGTATTTTTAGTTGTCCAATTAATTTCTTTCTATTTTTAGTAGAGACGGGGTCTCGCTCTTGCTCAGGCTGGTCTCGAACTCCTGAGCTCAAACAATCCGCCCGCCTTGGCCTCCCAGAGTGCTAGGATTACAGGCGTGAGCCACCGCGCCCGGCCTCTCACTCTTATTTAACTACTGCATAGTAGTCTAATGTGAAGCTGCACCATTATTTATTTAATTATTCACCTATTGTTGGATATTTATGGTCCTATTTTTTATTATTTCAAACATTGCTGCTATGGGCATCCTCATATTATATACTGTTTTTGTGAATTTGTTTGACTGTTCCCGTACGATGGATTACTTGAATTAGATGGTGGGATCAAAAGGAATGCTACACATCCAAATTTTTTATAAATATTGCCAGCTTATCCTTAAAGAGGATACACTTCTAGGACTATGTGAGTGAGCCCATTTTGCCATATTCTTCCCAACTATCTATATTATTTTTTCTGATCTTTATTAGTCTGATAGGTAAAATAATTCTATCTTGTTTTTAATATGTATTTTTATGAGTAGTAAAGCTTTCATATATTTAATACCTATTTGTATCTCCTCTGTGAATTCTCTTTTTAATGCCTTTTACCCTCTTTACTATTATTAATATTAGGTTGATTTATAAACCCTCTTAAGGGTATAAATCCTTTGTCAGTCATAGGTGTTGTATTTTTCTAGTTTGCTGTATTTTACCTTTATTAATATCTTTATTAATAAATTTTGGCAAAAGATATTAAAATTTTAATATCAGGGTAATACTAGCCCCATTGAACAAAGTGGAAACATTTCTATCTTTTTCTATGTTCTGGAACAGTTTAATATGAAAAGAACAAACTGCTCCCAAGGCTTCAGTAAAACTCACTAGTAAAGCTGTTTGGGCCCAGTGCCTTTTTAGGGGGTAAATCTAGGTTTGTGTTTATAGTTTCTTCAATGGTTTTTATCATTTTTGGGTTTTTTTCCCAAAATCAATACTTTCCGATCTTTTTGCTGTTTTCAGTTTTTTTATTGTTATAGATACTACTACAGTGACCATCCTTGTAATACAATCTTTATGAACATGACTTATTGCTTTCTTAAGATAAATTAAAATTTGCAGAATTTCTGGATATGCCTATTTTTAAAGGCTTTTCACAGGATTGCCATCCAAATAAATATCCATTTATTTTCCTCCCAGCAGGGTATGAGAGTGTCTGATTTCTTATACCCTCACCAAAGTTAGGATGTCCCCCAACTCTTAATAGAGTGGTAGATAAAACTCTACTTATTTTTCTTCTCCTTGTTACAATTTTCTTCACCCAGTAGCCAAGAATATTAAATACATAAGGAAAAGTTAAGCTAAAAAATGAACCGTTTCCAGAAAGGGCATAAGGACCCAGCTTGATCAATGACCACCACCACCACCACCATCCCCTTTTATCCTCTGTTAACCAGCTAGAGCTGATGATGGTTTTCTTGTTCCTAAGAACCTTTCAGAAAGGAAAAAGAAGTCAGCTCAAGATCGTTGTCAGGCTGAGGAGGAGATAGATGAAATTCGCAAGTCATACCAGGAGGAACTGGACAAACTTCGACAGCTCTTGAAAAAGACTCGGGTGTCCACAGACCAAGCAGCTGCAGAGCAGGTAATGGGAAACTAAAGTACTTTAGAGATAAATGAAAGGTGTGAAGGACTCAGAGAGAAAAGCTTCTAGTTTCTTCCTTATCCTTTAGGATGACATTTCTCATAGTTGATACTCTCACTTTGGAGAAAGGTGGAAACAATAATCCAAATATATGCAGGAGAGGCCAGGCACAGCGGCTCACACCTGTAATCCTAGCACTTTGGGAGACCAAGGTGGGAGGATTGCTGGAGCCCAGCAGTTTGAGGTTTCAGTGAGCTATGGTGATATCACTGCACTTTAGCTGGGCGACAGAGCAAGACTCTGTCTCAAAACAGAAAAAAAACAAAAAACCAAATATATGCAGGAGAGCCAGGAATCAAATGTCGAATCTTATCAAATGATGAATTTTCTTTCCTTTTTTAAAGCTTAGTTAATATTTAATTACATAAGTGAAAATGAAAAACAGTCTCTTTACAAAAAATTCCAAACAGGGTAAGTCCAAAGTCCTCAACCACCAGACACCATCCTTCATGCACATTGTCATCCTTGAAAAGAAGGGATTACTTTAGGTAATCAGGAAGGGAAACCAGGGATAGTGGCAGGACACAACTGCATCGCTAATCCATGTGACAGCAATCTTTATCATTATAAGTTTAAAATTCATATGTGTAGATCTGTTTAATTAGTGCATCAATACCCTCAATTTGATCACCTCTGGGAATTTTGGCAAAAAAAAGTTTCTGAACCTATAAAGCTTAGGGTTGAGACCCTGAAAAGTCATCAGGGCCCTGCCTCTGCCTGGTTGAAGCACCTTTTGGGGTCCTGACAACCAATGACATCTTCCTACCTATGTTTAAAAAGTACATTTAGGCCGGGCGTGGTGTCTCACGTCTATAATCCTAGCACTCTGGGAGGCCGAGGCAGGAGGATCGTTTGAGCTCAGGATTTCAAGACCAGCCTGAGCAAGAGCGAGACCCTGTCTCTACTAAAAATAGAAAGAAATTAATTGGACAACTAAAAATATACAGAAAAAATTAGCCGGGCATGGTGGCGCATGCCTGTAGTCCCAGCTCCTCGGGAGGCTGAGGCAGTAGGATCGCTTGAGCCCAGGAGTTTGAGGTTGCTGTGAGCTAGGCTGACGCCACAGCACTCTAACCCAGGCAACAGAGTGAGACTCTGTCTCAATCAATCAATCAATCAATCAATAAAAAGTACATTTACTATAAAAGTAATGGGGGTCTTTTAAACAGTTGTTTCCTGGTTAAATCCAGCTGTTATCTTATTCTTTTGCCTTATGAAGTGTAGGCTTCCCTAGGGGCAACAGGACCCCTCCAGGATGATACTGTTATTACTGTCTCTTGGCAGCTGTCTTTAGTGCAGGCTGAGCTACAGACCCAGTGGGAAGCAAAATGTGAACATTTGTTGGCCTCTGCCAAGGATGAGCACCTGCAACAGTACCAGGAGGTGTGTGCACAGAGAGATGCCAACCAGCAGAAGCTGATACAACTTCAGGAAAAGGTAGATGTTTTCCTTAGGCCAGACAGCTTAGGCACCTCAGTGCATTTGAGGAAAGCAGGCTGTTTGAGTCCTGTCAATCCTTTTGAACCTAAAAAATGTTAATAGCTAGAAAACAAAACCACACTTGTTTAACTCCATCTAGGTTGCTGATTATCTTTCATATACTTATTTGGGGTGACAGATTAGTGACCTGGAAAAAGAAAAAAACAGCACTGGTGTTCTGGAACATGTTTTCCATTATTATTTGATCCTTCATTTATTAAGCAAATATTTCTTGAATGTCCGTTGTATTCCAGCCACTGTGTTGGAGGAAGGGAATACAAAGAACTCTGCCTTCAAGTATCTCACAGTCAAGAAAGGGAAACAGAGAGAAACAAGATATACCTTAAGGGCTCTGGGACCCAAGAGAAAGTACCTAGGGGAGCTGGGAAGGCTTCCCAAAGGGGGTGACATTTGAGCAGAGCCAAGAAGGACAAGTAGCTTTGGTGGGCAGAGATGAAGGCAGAACGTCCTGGGCAAAGGCATTGAGATGGGATGGGGTACAGTGGGATCATCAGGCATAAAAAGGCAAGAGATCGGACGTGGCTTAGGGTCATGGTATGAAAGTCCCATATCTGGAGGTCAGTTTCTTTCCTTCAAGTATCCAGATGAAAACTTTTGACTCAGAGATCTTGGAGGCAATCTTGTAGGCAAATTAGGTTACTGCTAATGCTGAATATTTATGTCTGTATGACTAAAGTTACTTCCCCCTTGCCCCTGTGCTCTTTTTGCCGTTATATTTTTGACCTGATTGGGAACGGAGCAAGTGACCTTGTTGGGAAAGAGAAAGTGAAGTTGTGAGTTGAAATTGAGTGATAAGGAAATAGAGTGCTCTGAGTCAGGTCTAGGTTGGGGGGTGGTCACCAGCAGACCGAGGTGAGGGTAGGACTTGAGGCTCAGGATGGTTCTCTTTGCCTTGGGTTTTTGACCTTCACCTGGTAGTTCAGGTTTCTGAAGCCACAGCCACAGTCTGTTGTTTTGCAGTGTTCGGCCCTCCAGGGCCAAGTCACAGCCCTCACAGAGCAAAATGAACAGCACATTAAGGAATTGGAGGAGAACAAGTCCCAGACATCTGGGGTCGAAGCTGCTACTACTGATGCCTCAGAGAAGGTGAGCTGGTGTTTCAAAGACGAAGCAAACCCTTTCATATCAAGGATTGAATGTGCATATGAAGCATTCAGAAGGAATGTGGCCAATATGTTGTGTTAGTAGCATTTTTTCTAACTTTAGTGATGCACCACTTGTCTAACTTAAAAATTAACCCTTTGGAACCTGCCACTCTGGTGACAAACCCCAAAGGGCCCTATCATTCTGGGATTTTGACAGATTCGGGAAGTGCCTCTAAATTACAGGAGAGGAATAGGGGATGGGGAGTGTGCCGAGCATCCACTAGCCACTAATCCCTGTAGTCTGTGGCAGTTCTCAGTAGTGTTCATGGTGGGAGGTATCAATAAATGGTCTTTAGCAGTCTTGGGCTCACATACCACAGCTTGCCTGCCCTTGGTAGGTAACTGTGATGTCTAGCCCTTCTGTCAACGTCCTGCTCATTGTTTAATACTGTTCTCTCCATGGTGACAGCCTTCAGTGTCTCTGTTTATGACCAGCTGTGTCCCACCGAGAGTTCTGAGATGGCTTTATTTTAGCCTTCCAAACCCCCATCTGGAATTTAAGCTTATATTTTGATGTTCACACAGGTCAAGAAGATCATGAACCAGGTGTTCCAGTCTTTGCGGAGAGAGTTTGAGCTGGAAGAGTCTTACGATGGCAGGACCATTCTGGGGACCATCATGAACACGATCAAGGTATGGCCAGGCAGCCGTGGATTATTTCACTGGAATGGGTATTTTGTTGCTGAAGTACCTTCTAAGGGTCATGAATAAAAAATTATTCAAGACCATTCCTCAGTAAATAGGATGCCTAGAGTGACTCGACAGATGTGGTCTGCCATTTAGGAAGAAGCGAAGTCATTTGACCAGCTGTGTCGATGAGGACTGCAGAACTAGGAGCGACTGCTGTGTTCCTTTCAGTTACCATCTCTTCCTCCTTGGCTTTTGAATAGATGGTGACTCTTCAGCTGTTAAACCACCAAGAGCGAGAGAAGGGAGACAGCAGCAGTGAAGAAGAGGAAGAGGAGCAGCCGCAGAGCCCTTCCCAGGAGCAGTCAGCCACAGACAATTCTGCGCTGCCTCAGGCACCCCTGGATAGGGAGAGGCAAGAGCCCCCCGTGGTGCCATCAGAGCAGGTAGTGGAGGAAGCTGTCCCGCTGTCCCCTCGGGCCTTCCCCACTCCCCAGGATGATGCACAGAGAAGGGAAGGGGGGCCCTCAGAAGCAGAGGTGCTCTCAGAGCTGCAAGATGGTTCCCTCCCACCCGACCTGGCTTGCATCCCATCCCACAGAGTTCTGGGGCCCCCAACTTCGATTCCACCTAAGCCTCCTGGCCCTGTAACTATGGACTCTGAGTGTGAGGAGACACTTGCCGCCAGCCCACTGGCATCTAAGCCCGATAGCTCACTGGGAAACGTCTGTGTCAGGGAATTGACCCCAGAGGGCCCACTGCAAGAAAGCTCCACGGGACTGTCCCTGACTTCAGACCCCGAGAAGGGGGACCCACTGGCCATAGGGCTGCCTGAAAGCCCAGGAGGAGAGCTTCAGCCCCCAGAGCTTAATAAAGATGAGGATGTCACTAGCTCTACTGGTCCCTCCGAGCAGCTATCAAGCACAGAGGCAGGATCTGCAGCTGCAGGAGCAGCCCTCAGCCCCAGCCATCGTTCTCAGCGTTCCAGGTATGTGCCTCTGAGCACAGTTTCAGGGATGGGAGGCTACATGCGGTAGTTGTTTCTGTTTTTTCCAGGGCCAGCAACTCATCTCTCAGAGACTGACTGATTTACTTATTTGATCATTTGTTCACCCTTTCATGTATTTATTCAACAGTGCGGTGTACAAGGCTCTGTGGTAGGCACTGTGATAGTGTGGTAGGCAAGGCAGATTTGGTTCTTGAGTTTAAGGAGCTTATAGTCTAGTGGGGAAGACAAATACGTACTTACATAGTATAAAAATGTGATAAGTGCTTAAAAAAAGAAACACTATAATAAAGAATAAAGAGGGAGTTGCTCTACTTTAGACAGGGTGGTTAGAGAAGGATTCTGAGAAGGTAACATTTAAACTGAGACCTAAGGATGGGAAGGAGCAGGAACAAGAGAGTGTAGAAAGAGAGAACCGCACATGCAAAGGCCCTGTGGTGGGAGGGGACATGACACAATCAAGTAACTAAAAGAAGGCACAGCAAGTAGGAGGAGAGTGGTGTTAAGTTGAGGTTGGAAAATTAAACAAGGCCCAGGATACATGAGATTTTATGTTGCTGTTAAAAGTTTGGACTTTAAGTACAGTGAGAAGCTATTGAAGGGATCTAAACAGAAGACCAATGTGGTCTGATTTCTTAGTTTTACAAGATTGCTCTGGCTGTAGGTTACGGAGAGGTCAACAGCATGAGGAGGCCAACGCATGGTATGGGAAGAGACAGTGGTAGTGGAGGTGGGAGGAATTCCTGAGCAGTCCTTGCTGTTGGCTTCTTACTCAATGCCCAGTGACCCTTGTAGCTTGCTGGGTACTGTGACCTGGAGTGGGAACAACATTTTCTATGGCTTGATTTTCCTTCAGTCTCTCTGAGGATGAAGAAGATGAGCTGTTTAAAGGGGCGACTCTGAAAGTTCCAAGGCCTAAAGCACAGCCTGAAGAGGAGGATGAAGATGAGGTGGTAAGGAGATCCCAGGCACTGCCACGTCCTTATACCATCACCTGGGGGCTCCTCCCCACTAGAGCTGAGAAGAGAAACGGAGTCTGTTGGTGGCCCACTGCCTGGACTCTGTGTGCAGGGCCCTGTGGGAGCAGGCTTGGGGCTGAGAGGGGGCAGCTCTGTAAGCAGAGCAGGGATGGTCAGATACCACTTTTCTCTTGAAAAAGAATCATAGTCTCTGACCATGCAGGAATTATTCCCACTGGAAGTGAGGAAAGTTGGGCTGCTTAATCCTACATTGGAATGTCAAAGCCTCAGGTTTCCCCAGATCTGCCAGGATATTATTTTTATTTTATAGTTGGAAGGGACTTTGAAGATGATCTTGTCTGGCATCCTCATTCACAGACAAAAAAATTGAGGCTCAGAAGGATGATTTACCTGAAGCCACAGAGTGAGTTAATGGCAGGACCAGGACTAGGACTAAAACCCTAGGCTTGTATTAAGACCATCTGTTTCCGAGCTTTTCCTGCTTACTCAGCCTGCTTTCCAACCTGCTGCCTTGTTGTGTCATCATAATGTCCCTGGGCAGAAGATGGTTTCAGGACTAATAGCATAGCCTTGCTTTACAGAGAACGAGAGTGAAGCCCAGGAAGGGAAGTTGCTGATAGAGCCTGAATTAGAGCCCCAGTTCCTGCATCTGCTGTTCCCCATTGTGCTATGTTACAACGTTTCTGGCTGTCACTAAGCCATTTTGACTGATGTGATGGGAAGTTCACTGGTACAAAATGTGTGTGAGGAATACAGATGAGCTTCAGGCTCAGTCCATCGCAGGGACAGAATGTGAGGGTGAATCGGGCAAAAAAATCCCCTCATGTCAAAGTGGGTTTTGCCTTTTTCCAAAACCTTGGGAAGACAGCTATGACGGATCGGAGATCCAGCTCATATGAACCAGAGCCCTTCCCTCTTGCCTGTGTTCCTTTGGAAAAAATGTGCCAGTTTCTTCTGGTAGCTTTTCTCCCCAAGAGTTAAATTTTCATTTGAGAACCCCGAATACAAATTCTGCACTTAAAAAGAAAAAAAGGAAAAAAAATTGAGTATCCTAAGTGACTACCCTAAATATAGTGGAAATTTTTAAATTAGCAAGTATATTATTGGTATTAATACTAATACCACCAAGTTAACATCTATGTCTTAGTTATTCTGGAAACTGCTCCACAAACATGCCCATTAAATCTTCTACTACTCCAGTGAGGTAGGCACTTTTATTCCATTTTATAGATCAAAGGACTGAGGCTCAGGCTGATGAAATAACGTAACTAAGGTTACATAGCTGGTAAATGTAGAGCTAGAACTTTAGCCAGGACAAAACAGAAGCTGTGAGCCACATTGGAAAATCCTAGGCCAGGTGCGGTGGCTCACGCCTGTCATCCCAGCACTTTGAGAGTCCTAGGCAGAAGGATCGCTTAAGCCCAGAAGTTTTTGGCTGCAGTGAGCTACGTTTGTGTCACTGCATTCCAGCCTAGAAGCGAGATCTTATCTCTTCAAACAAAACCAAAAAATCCTATACTGTCAGAGTTTAGAGATCACTTCCTTGGTGCCCAGAGAGAAGTACTAGGTCTGTTAGTTGGCAGTGGTGATAGGATTAGCCCAGAGACTGCTGTACACACCTTTGGCCTGGCGTTGTGAAGAGTGGTCCTGGTCAGCAGTAGCTCACCAGAGCACAAAGTACCTTAGTAGAGACTATTCATTTTGTGCCTGTCTCTAGCATAAATCCCTGCTATACACCCCCACCTCCCATGGGACCCGTTTCCTGCTGATCCAGAGTTATGAAAAGGGTGGGTTTCTCATGGCCCGTTAGTACCCTCTATCCCCCTGGTTGGAGGAAGCAAGGGCGGGGCCAGAGAAACTAGGCATGTGGGAGGCTGTGGCCCTGTGTTCTTCAATTCTTGGGAGTCTCCACTTGGGAATGTGGCCAAGCCTCTAAATTCAACTGTCTCAAATGATGGGATCACATCCAGATCCAGTTAAGCCACCTTAGGCCACAACAACAGTGTTTTTTCAAATGTGACTGTATTCTGCCCAGCCTCCCTTCATCTTCCCACATCCTGTCCTTATCGGAGGCCTGCTCTGCTTCTCGGTTTCTTTCTCCTACTCCCATCTCTCCTCTTTGACCCTTCTTTCTGTACACGAAATGTTTAAATTACCATGAGAGGAAAACCTGTCAATTCACGTGCTTCACAAATAAATGACAAAATTAGCCAAACAAAGTTGGTCTTTTGTCTCTGTTGAAAGATTGCTTCCCTTCTCGGCATGCTTGTCTCAGCTTTATCTGGAAGCCTAGGTTTGCTGGCCTCAGAGTCGGTCCTTCCAGTACAACTTCTTTTGCAACCCAGAACCGGGAACGGAAGTTGGATCACTTCACCTCATAGGTGGGAAGTCCAGCCGGACGGGGACAAGTGAGGACTGACTACTCTTTCCTGTTTTGTCAGAGCATGAAGGGACGCCCGCCCCCAACACCCCTTTTTGGAGATGATGATGATGACGATGACATTGACTGGCTGGGATGAAGACCCAGGAAACTGGTGCAAAGATTTCTCTACGACCCTTCCCTAAGCATGATTTTGCACAGCCAACCCTGGGTGTAGGTGAGCCACAGGGGAGGTCAAGGTGAGCATTCTGGGGACAGTAGTTCAGGCATCTGAGTTAGCCACCTTCTGAGCCCCCTGTCCCACCTGGTGAAGAGGAGCATGACCCTGTCTTCAGAAGCGAGCTGGAGAAAGGACTGGTAGGTTCCCCTCCAGCCAGTCACCTGCAAGATTCCTGCCCTCTTCCAAGCTTTTTATTCTCTTCATAACTCTGAGACTGACCTGGGAGCCCCCCTCTGCCTGCCTCCCAGTGCTCAACTGCCTCAGCAACAAGACCTGTCACCTGCACTGAGGTCTCCCTGATAGAACGAAGGGGAGATGACACCATCTAAGTCCCAGTGCAGTTAACAGCCTGGTCTGCAGTCCTGGGACCTGTATCTTTTTCTCTGCCTTAAATCTGATACAAGAGGTCAATGAATATTTGCAATTAAAACTAAAATAAATGTCTGTAATGAAACTTGACTCAAGCCCATGGGAAGAACCTGCATTTGGTTCCAAGAGCTGTCTGTGTTCCTCTTTGGGATTTTAAGGGTAGGAGTCATAACCGATCTGGATCAGTCAACATGCACAAAAGCATTATGACATATTCCCTTTGGTACCTGACCCTGGAACTTTTAGGCTTTCAAAGAAAGTCACCATTCTGCTTTCCCAGCTCTTCCCGGGGGCATTGCGGTTATCCGAGGACCAGTCCTGTTGTTCTCTTGCTCCTGCAGGCTTGGTCCTACAGCCCAGGAAGCCATGCAGAGAAGGTGGGAGGGTCCCTACCATAGTACCTAAGGGATTCTTCACTTTGAGAGCAGTTTCCGTGCCTCTGAACTCAGGGGGCCAGGACTCATGCAGAGAACAGCAACAGGAATATATTTGTAGTCATTTTATTTATTGCAGGATCTTCTAAAAACCATGCAACCAGTCTTAAAAAATAGAATAATTTTAATAAAAATGTTCCCTGATTTCAAATGTTCGTAAGATAGGAACTCAAATTCCACTCCACCTGTCCTGACATCATCCTTGAAAGCTTTGTGTCTGTCTCCCAGATGTGGGCCTGGGAGGCAGTGAGAACTACCATTTAATACTTCTTGTTGAACAAACAGGCACCACTGTCTGGTACTTCACACAGGCTGTCTTGTCTCCAGCAACATTGCCAAAGACACCACTGTTACCATTTTATAGAGAAAATTGGGGCCTAGAGAGATAAGGTAACTTGTCCAAGGTTACATAGCTATTAAGCAGCAGAACAAGAATTCAAATCCTGGCCATTTGATTCCAGAGCCTGGGCTCTTGGCCAGCACAGCAGTGTCCCCTGCCTCATTGGCCCAGGGCTGGGGGAAGGGACAGTGATGCTTTTAGAAATACAGGTTCCTAGGCCCTACCATGAATCTTCTGAAATAGAATTTCCACTGTTAGGATAAAATACAAAGAGCACAGGCTTTTCAGTTTCCACGATCTGCATTCACATCCCTGCTCCACCGGGTGCTGCGTGGCATTAGGCAAGTTGCCCCCTCAGCCGCCACCCCCTCATCTGAGTCGATGAAGAAACAGACTTGGGCCAGGCTGCCTGGTCTGAACCCTGGATCTGCCACTTATTAACTAGTGACTTTAACTTCTCTGTGCCTGTGCTTCTCATCTCCAAGATGAGGACAGAAATAGTTTCTACCTTATCATGAGGATTAAATGAGTTAATATTTGTAAAGTATTTAGAACACTGCAGAACACTGCCTGACAATAAACCACCATATAGGTGGTGTTTGTTAAATTAAAAAAAAAAATTTAAGTAGGGGGATTACCATCGTTTGTGACTCGGCTCTGAAGAATGTTGAAATGAGGGCAATGGATTGCCTACTAGGTCTAACCCTATAATCCCTATCTCTAAAGCACAGATTCTTAAAAATTTTTTTAATCCCCCTATACTGTAAAAGCCACAAATGTATTACACTTCAAGAGACTGTATCAAACTGAAGAGGTTGCCAGTCATCCCTGGAGAGGCCATCTCAGCAGTGCCCCAGGGGAAGGAGCCTTAGCTGGTCAGGACTTCGAGGTGGATTGTTGGAAGTTCCATCAGCAAGACTATGCTGGACTTTAGGAATCTCGTATCTGTTGAGACACTGGGCAGCTTTCTAATTCCCTGCAAACGTGGGGGAAATGCATAGATCCATCCTAAAGGTGTCACACACTCTGCTTCCTGTGACAGTTATTTCTTATTGTAAATTAAAAAGTGGTTATTATATTTTTTGCTTCTGCCCTCAGGGAGAGAAGGTACTAATTAATAATCATGCTAACGCAGGTATTTATAGGCTGTGTGACAGTTACTTGTAGTAGGCACCCAATTAATGCTTGTTCCATGAACAAAAGAATGACTGCTGCCTAAGTTGGCATTCTGAAGTGTCCACCTGTGGGCACAGCGTTTCAGGGCTGGGTTTCCCTGAGCACAGTTGTCTTCGTAGCAGATGGACAGACTCCATCCCTGGACAGCCTTGTAAAGAGCACTGCCAGCTCCATTCACCCCACTCAGCTCCTGCAGTTGTTATACGTGTTCACGTGCTTGCTGTTGGAATGTGGAGAAACAGAAGAACAGTCACAACTGCTTAAAAATATATATTTATTAAAATGTATGTTTTTAATTCCCAGAGTTTACAGTCTTTTCATCTAGCCTTTGAGGTCCTTGAGCGTAGATATTACAGTATCAGCAGTGATTTTCTCTCCCTGGGTCTCTGTTTCCTTTTTGTAAAGTGAAGAGGTTCAAATATCCAGAGCGTCCCATCTAACTCTAAAAATGTAGTGGCTTTGGTTGGACTGCTTATTGCATCTTCAGTCAGTACCCCACCATGGCTTAATCAGTATTTTAAGTGAATGAACTATGTTTCCCCACCAGATAGTTCTGAGTGAACAGTAATAAATAGCATTAAGTATTGAATATTTTTAAATGCAGTTTTCTGTTTTGCATAAAAGAAAGATCAGGATAAGAGAGAGCATTAAGGCCATGAGGAGCTTCCCAGACATCCAAGGCCATGAGATGATCTTCCTCCGGCAGGCAGTGCCGTTTGCTGGGAGGAGCTCAGTCTATCCAGAGGATAAGCCAGGAGCCTGGATAACAGTCCTGCGTCTCTGCCTTGAATCAGCTGTCACTTATTCTTCCCTTAATAAGGGGAAACGGTCATCAGAAGATCCTGCCATGCATCATGAATAAAACAATCATTTCATTAAAAATTTTGTATGAATGTGCAAAATTGCCAACCAGGAGTTCAAAGGGAAAAAATTTTTTAAATCTTAGTTCATTAATATGATCCATAGAAGAGACTATCTTCATGTATTCCAAAGGCAGAAAGGTGAGAAAAAGGAGCTAGCTTGGTCTCTGTCCCCCAAAGAGAGAAGAGGTCAGGAAGTCCAATGGAAGGTGCTCCTGTAGATAAGGCACAAAGCAGGAGAGCTGAGGGTATCTAGGTTCCATGCCCGTCATCGCTCAGAATCCATCTCCCTGTCTTGAAGATCTTTGGAAATTCGTAAGTTTTAAGTCATAGAGATGCGTTGTCATGGGCTCAGCAACCCTGTCCCCCATTTATGTTCTCTCCATTCTCCCTTTGGTCACAGCAGCCTTCTTAAGGCACGAGATGGGGCCTGGGCCCTATGCAGGCTGGTTGAGGAGAGAGGTCGCCCCAATGGCCTCTGATCTCAGAAAGCAAGTGCTGGCTTCAGTTCAAAGTTTCCAGGGGTTGGGAATAAGGTGGAGGAATAGACATCAGAAGAAAAAGCAGCTGGAGGCCAGGCGCAGTGGCTCACACCTATAATCCTAGCACTCTGGGAGGCAGAGGTGGGAGGATCACTTGGGGTCAGGAGTTCAAGACCAGCCTGAGCAAGAGTGAGACCCCGTCTCTACTAAAAAAATAGAAAAATTAGCTGGGCATGGTGCATGCACATGTAGTCCCAGCTACTTGGGAGGCTGAGGCAGGAGGATCACTTGAGCCCAGGAGTTTGAGGTTGCCGTGAGCTATGATGACGCCAGTGCACTCTAGCCTGGGTGACAGAGTGAGACTCTGTCTCAAAAATAAAAAAGCAGCTGGAAGTACAGTGTCTGGAACGGACCTCAGCTTCCTCTAGCCTCAGTGCCTGCACATCCCTTGCCAGCTAAACCATGCGGAGAAGCGGGTACGCCAGGTAGTAGCCCAGAGCAGAGCCCAGGACCACACCAAGGAAAATCCAGGTGTTGTAGGACATTACAGCCAACATTATGAAGTAGCCAATGACCACTTGGATGACATGGATTAGAGACTGGCCAAAGTGACACAAATACCACCTAGATAAAAAGAAGAATCAAGTTAATGCTGGTAATGAGCTGAAGCTGGGAGTTGGTATCAGGGGTAGAAAGCCATTGGGTTACAGGACCAGCTTATTTATTATATTATAACTCGTATGCTTAACCCAGGAGAGCTTTCTTTTTAAAGAGACATATCTCCACCACATTTAGTTCTGAGCTTCCTAGCATCCTAGGCAAAAGGGAAAATGATGGGATATATAATCTATCCCGTCTGATGAGAGAGAAGAGAAAATCATCATCAGTAAGGCAGGTTTCCCCGCTGAATCTACTGTGGGAGGCAGTATGACAATGGAAGGAGCATAGACTTTGGTGACAAATCAATTCCTATTCCTAGGCCACTTATTAAATGGGGCCTAGCACAAATGTCTTAACCTCTCTGAACTTAAATTTCCTTATTAGTAAAACAGGAATAAGAATAATTGCTTTGCAGGGGGGTTGTGAAGATTTGGGACACCCATGTAGGGTGGCTGGTGATGCAGGAGGCAGGCTCATTAAGCACGAGTGAGGCTGGGACTGGACAGAGGGCAGAAGGGGGACCTTAAATGTCTGCCTGATCAGAGTGGGAAGGGAGGAGAGGAAAAGGAAAGGAGAGGAGAAGGGAGGAGCGAGAAGGTGCCTCCCTCCTCCCACCACACAGGATACATCGCTAACAGCAGTTTTTTATCACTTGCTTCAGGACAGCTGCAGATTCCCTCCTCAGTATGGAAACTTAGTGAGTTAAGGAAACTGGGAGATTTGGGGGGAGGCTAGGTGGCCACCACTGATGCTAGACAGAGGCCTGCACCAGGGTTGTAAAGATCACAGTTCCCTAAAGAAAGCCTTCTTAGCCTCGCAGGCAGCTGGTCAGAGAGAGCTTTTGCCTGGGCATCAGGAGACCTGAGCTCTGGTTCACTTGACTAAAGATAACCACTTTGGCAAGTCCTGGTCCTTCCCTGGGCCTCGATTTCTTTTCTGTGAAGCGGGGCTAATGCTCTCTGGACCCAGACTGCCTCTCAGGGTGCACGTGAGTACTCTGCCCACTCCCCACACCCAGTGCTTGTACCTGCGGTGGGTTCTGCTGACGGGGGGAGGATCTGAGCCTGCAGAATCCCAGTCTGTCTCTGCGATGACCTGCTGGCTGATGGAGGTGGGCAGGCTCACCAGCACCTGGTGGAGCAGCTTGGCTTTGCCAACCTTGATGCCTTCGTACAACACAGCGAGGAGCAGGACCACCAACGCCGAAAGGGCTATGCCTGTCAAAGGAGGCTGAGTTGCAGAGACCTGGCCAGGCCAGCACCGCTTCCCTCCTGGCGCCTCCCCCGAGACTGGCCCAGCTGGCCGAAGAGCACCTCCACCCATTCCGTGGAGTGCACTCCGTTGACCTCTCTCTTGCATCTTCTTCCCAACCCTCCCTGAGCTCAGAACTTCTTCAGTCTCTTTCCCCCTGCAGACCTTTCTGAGTAGGGTTGGCCTACTGGAATGTGGCTTTGAGATCAGGAAGATAAGCCACCTGGAAAAGCCAGGGGCTAAGGGTGAAGAAGCCATATACTCTCACCCCAGCCACTCCCCCAGCTGGCTGCACACGTCAGTCACGACTTCTTGTTGAGGGATCAGTACAGCAAGGTCCTAGTTACATGTAGGGACACAGAGTCCGGAAGGAAGGATATACAGCACAGGGTAGTCATCTCGGCAAAGTAGGATACAGGTGGTTTTATTTTCTTCTTGCCTAATTTCCTAAAGTTTCTTTCGTGAGTGTGTATCACTTTTATAATAGGAAAAATACCCAGTAAGTTATTTTTACAGAAAACATTAAGTGCTTACTAGAGCTGCTGTGTAAAATTAACTACCAACTGCGGCTTCTATTTCACAAATGGAGGGATGATAAATGGTTCGGCTAAAGTATTTCATTGGGCTCTGTGACATAAGAAATATATATTTGGTCTCTGCCCTGGTTTCCTGGCACCCAGCTCCTAGAACCCTTGGAAACTCTGAAATGCGTCTTTGTATGCTAATGAGATGACTGGTAGCTAGGGCTCATGGATGGCCTCTGGATCAGATGGCCTCTGGATCGGGGCTGGTTGCCAAGGAAGCCAACCTTGTCCTTAGAGGGTTGGAACTTTCAGCACCACCCCCAACCTCTGGGAGGTGAGAAGGACTGAGGGTTGAGTTGATCACCAGTGGCTAAAGATGCAATCAGTCATGCCAGTGTACGAAGCCTCCATATAAACCCAGAGAGCTTGCAGGTTGCTGAACACATGGCGGTACCTGGAGGGTGGCAAGCCCAGAGAGGGCATGGAAGCTCCACGCCCTTCCCCTAGCCATCTCTTCCACCTGGCTCTTCATTTGTATTCTTATAATACATGGGTATACATAAGTAAAGTGTTTCCCTGAGTTTTGTGAGGTATTCAAGCAAATAATCAAACCCAAGGAAGGGGTCATGGAAACCCCAACTTACAGCTGGTTGGTCAGAAGTACAGGAGACAAACTGGGACTTTCTACTGGTGCCTGAAGTGGGGGCAGTCTGGTGGGACTGTGCCCTCCGCCTGTGGGGTCTGCACTAACTCCAGTTAGCGTTATATTTGAATTGAATTGTAGGACACCCAGCTGGTATCAGACAATTGGTTGGTGTGGGGGAAACCTACACATCTGATCACAGAAGTGTGTTGAGCATAAGAAAAGGAAAAACAGTAAGTTATTTTTTTTCCTCTACAGGCTCCCAGGAGGAAATCATGTGCAAAAGATTCAGGTTTTTAAAATATAGATTTATAGATAATTGCATGCACATGGCAAAAATTCTAACAGCGCAAAAAGGTATATAATGAAAAATAAGTTGTCTTCTCACCCCAGACTCCAATTCTCCTCCCCAGATCAACCTCTGTTAACTCAATGTACACAAAAGCCTCTATTTGTCTAAATGACAGCACCGTCTCTGTGCATACTCTTCTGCATCTGACTTCACCATCCCTTCTCCTTAGCTCACACACATCTACCTTATTTCCTCCAGAGGCTTCATAGGATCTGAGATAGATTATATTTTCCAAAGACAGCCACCCCAATATACCCCACGCCACATGCTCACTCCTGCCATCAAGTGGTAGGGTCCATGTCCCCTCTCCTTTGGCCTAGGGAGACCTCTGTGACTTCAACCAATAAAGGTGGAAGGAATGCTTCCAAAGTTGGGTCTTGAAAATCCCATGCACTTCTGCATTGTGCTCTTGGGACACTCGTTCTTGCAATCTAGCCATCTGCCACGAGGAAACCCAGGCAAGAGGAGACACTACGTGTAGACGTTCAGCCAGCAACCCCAGCTGAGGTCCTAGCTAATAACCAGTATCTACCACTAACCATGAGAGTGAGAACTTTTCAAGATGACTCTAGTTCCAGCCACCATCTGACTATACCTACACAAGACCTTGAGTGAGGACCACTTAGCTGAGCCCCAGCAACTCACAGAACCTCTGACAGAGTGAACAATAAAATGACTGTTGTTGTTTTAAGCCACTATTTACTCAGCAGTGGATAATCAGAAATGGTAACCCATTGTAGGGATGACCATAGTTTATTTGATCCCCACCTGCAATGATGGGCATTTGGGCTATTTTCAGTCTATTTTTAAGATGCATTTATTTAAGTTGAAAAATAATTCCATCATGAATTAGTGCCAAACTCTGCCTTCTCAAGTCAAAGGAATACTCTTCCCTTTCAAATTGGTGTCTCATCTGCAGCAGCTGCTGTGGGCTTCTGAGCTGGTGCAAGACAGTGAACCCTGGATGAGGGAGGAGACAGGTGGCATCAGGAGGCCTTGACCCAGTTCTGTCTCCGATGCTTACTCACTGTGTGACCCTGCACAAGTCTCTTCCCTCTTTGGGCTTCAGTTCTTTCCCCTGTAATAAAGGAAAAACCTGCCTCCCTGTCCTCTCTCTCTCAGCCTTTGCGAGAATCAGTGAGATAAAGGAACCCTTTGCAATCTGAAGGGTAGTGGTTGCAAATGGAATTATAAACGCAAAGTTCCCGCTCAACATTTATGCCAGGGGAGTCATGTTCACTTAAATGCCCACAGAGAATAAAGAGAACCCAGGTTCTCCACTGCCTGGTGCTATAAGGCTTTCCAAGCTGCAAGTTTGAGCATCCCAATTCCTACCTGCAGGACTGTGGACACTCCAGAAATCAAACAGAAGCACCACCTTGTCTGAGAAGATGAAATGCATCTGAAAGAGAAGGAAACCTGCATCACAGGGGCTTAGGGCAGTGGAAATCGTGGTCATTAATTGTCTCCAGCAACTTCCTCTGGAAACCCAGAAAAATGAAGTCACTGGACTTCAGTGCTGGAAGGGCCACCAGAGGTGATCAGGGCTAACTGCGGCCATAAGGAGCAGGGACTTGCCCAAGCAGCTCAGCAGCAGTGCTGTAATTGAGCTGGCCCTGCTCCATGTGGAAGTGAAGCTTAGGGAGTGCCCATCCTCACTGGCCCAACCAGGCTCGGCATGTGACAGTGCCCTGACTATGTGGGGATGTCCCTTCTGTGCCTTCCAAGCCTGATTGCCTCTTCTTACCCCAGTGCCCCAGCCACTTTGCTCCAGCACTGAGACAGGCTCCCCCAAGGGGAGCAATGTCGTTAGAGCCTGGAGTTCTCTTTGTCCTGGAAAATCCAAGCAGATCTCGCCGAGTTTATCATGGAGGGGCCCAGGGACAGCCATCTTCAATCTGTATTCCACATCCCTCCACTCATTCAGTACACATTTGCTGAGCCCAGTTCTGGGCCCAGCATTATGGAGAAAGGGTAATGTTTCTGGCCTCAATGAGTTCGCAGCCTTACAGGAAAGACTGCAGGTAGAAGCAGCGGCCATGCAGTGTCGGTCTGACGCCTTTCTCAAAGACTGCCTGCTCCCCCGTGTTCAGGGTGGCATCATGGGCTTGTTACACATTATCTCATTTCAATGACACAACAGTCCTCTGCGTGACAGAGACAGTGAGACACGGTGCAGATGAGCGATGCTGTTATAGCTGGATCTGCAAGAGTCAGTTCCAGGGGAATCACTGGGAGACCACGGGCCAGTCATCAGCGCCACTCTAGCAAGTGGCTCAGTGAAGAGGGACAACAGTAGGTCTCCTTAGACTCCAGGGCCTTATTAAAAATGCAGATTCCTGGGCCTCCTCAGACCCCTACATCAGAATCCAGGGGCAGAGCCACAGGGGGGAGGGATGACACAAGATTTTAACCAGCCCTTTCAGGGGATTCTGAGGCTCAGTTCAGTTTGTTACGGCTGGAACAGAAGCAGCAAAGCCTAGTGGTTAGGGATACAGTTTCTGAAGCTGCACTGCTTGGATTTGCCTCCCAGCTCTGCCAGGAACCAGCTGCATGACCTGAGCTGCTGACACACATAAATCCCCCTGTGGACCTCAGTCTCCTCATCTGTAAAATGGAGACAGAACTCTAGGAACCCTTTCACCTAGTTTGGCCTCACTTTCACATGTTCCCTGTTAACATGGTACACACAGGCTTCCAGCTTTAGCTCCACTCCTACCCTGAAACTCCGTAAAAGAAAAAAAATGAGGCCAAGTACAGTGGCTCATGCCTATAACCCTAGCACTTTGGGAGGCTGAGGTAGGAGGATTGCTTGAGGCCACAGAGTTTGAGACCAGCCTAAGCAAGAGCAAGACTCTATCTCTACAAAAACCAGAAAATTAGCAAGGCATAGTGGCGCACGCCTATAGTCCCAGCTAGTCAGGAGGGTTAGGCAGTAGGATCTCTTGAGCCCAGGAGTTTGAGGTTGTTGATGCCACTGCACTCTACCTGGGCAACAGAGCAAGACAAAAAAAAAAAGGAAAAAGAAAAAGAAAAACGAAAACAAAATGAGCGTGCCTTGGGTTGGCTGTTTCTGGGTTAGGTAGGGGACCTCATCCATGTATCTCCTCGATTCCTGAGTTCAGACTTGGACACTGCAGTGTCTTTGGGTTTGGGTCTGGTGGAGACCTGGAAATAACCTGGCTGTTTTATATCCTGCACTCAGCAAACATGCCTTTTGGTTCTCAAAGGGGTCTGACTTGTGTCACCACCCTTCCCCGCCCACCACCTGTGGTGGCCAAGTTCACCGAGGACCCTGGATCTGCAGGATAGAGAAAGAAATGTAAAACCATCTGATTGAACGGAACAGCCACGCCGCTACTGCGTCTTCTCAGGGCCTGCATGTGCTTGCACCGTGCTCACCTTCCACCTTTTATCTGCGTCACTCCCATGACATCACTGCAGGTACCTACAATTATCAACCCCTTTCAATTAACAAGGAAGGCACAGAAAAGCCCACTTATCTGCCCAAGGTCACTCGGTGATCAGGTACCCAGAGCTAGAGATCTTTCTGGAAAGTCTGTGCTGGTTCTCAAACCTTATTATGCCCAACAAGCACCGTGGGTGTTCCTAGGGCAGAGGTCTATGAGGCCACACTTTGAGAGATCATCTGAACCATGATACTCTCCTGCCAACCAGTAGGGACTGGTCACATAAATTATGTTAGAGCCTCAAAATGGAAATTTAGGCACTTAAAAATCATGTTGAAAAATTTAAAAATAGAAGTAGCTTTTTATCTCCCTAATATGAAAGTGGTACTTGGTCAGTGGAAAAAGCTAAAACAGTACCAAAAAGAAAGTAAACAAATCATGGAGTCCTACTACCCAGAGATATCTCCTGTTAGGATTCCACAAAGAATATCTGTTGACGTGGCAAAATGTTCAGAAGAGACTGATACACAAAAACAAACAGACATGAATAATCCTGCGAAGCTCCATTTACCCTGGAGTGGCACTCATTCATCTGCAGCAGAAGCTCTGGCACCCTCTCTGCCAGGTCAGAGGGCTGCACCCATTACCCCTTCCCTGAGTCCACCTGGTAAAGCAGCTGGCATGAATGGAATGTCCCAGCGGGTAATTAATCCATAAGGGAGGCTCCATGACTGGTTTCCGTCTATCATCCTTGGGCCTGGGCCAGCTATGTCAGGGAACCCAAACAGCCCAGACGCCTTTTGCTGTAGACCTGAACACCCACGGGACAGTAAAATGAATTAAACCAAGACTTCCTTTTGTTGTGCTAGGGATGCGCAGACCCTGGAGGTACAGAGATGAGTGGGACACGTCCTTGGCCCTGAGGGAGCTATCCTCTATGAGGGGAGGCAGACAAGCAAACGGGTAATTACAACAGGTGTAGGTCCCCTGGGGGGTGCTGGGGGGCAAGCCATCGGAGAGACACCTGACCTGGCCAGGGGCCACATGGCTAGGACAGTTGTGAAGCCAGAGGGGCAGGAAGGAGCCGGGGAAGAGGGACTGAGCAGTGTGCTCAGAGCTGGAAGTGCCCACAGACACCATCTGGTTCCACCTCATAGGGAGTTGACAACCTGGAGGGGCAAAGAGTCTCTTAGTCTCTCAGACTTCCCTACTCTGGCCTTTTTGCTAGAGGAAAAGACTCAAATCAGCACACTCAGACCTGAGGAAAGACTTGACTTCGGGCTGCAGTTTTCAGTTACGGGACTTTGTGGTCAGATATTCAATTAAAAGGCTTTGTGGTCAGATATTCGAAGGGCAGGCCCCAATCTTGTTTTCCCATTTGGGATGAATCCCCGCCTCTGGCAGTTTAACTTCTCCGTGCTTGATTCAGGGTGGGGTGGGGGCGGGCCGTGGGGAAGGAGGCAGCAATCCCAGGGACTTATTTTCTTCTTCATCTTCTCACTGGGAGTTACTTACACTTTGAGAAAAGCCCCCTCATTTATAAACCAGAGTTCAGAAGATTAAGGTCCGGGCGCTAGGCTGCCTGGCTTCGGAACTTTTTCAAAGCTTCCCATCTATTTCCCCTTTTAGAGGACCGGCAGGAGGTGGGGGTGGGCATCTGACTGAGGGGCCTTTCTAAGCTTCCTGTATCTTAAATTCGATGACATTCTTCATGGGGATGAAGAAAACGACATGACTTCTTTAGGGTCCAAAGAGTCTTGCAGGCTGTGATTCTCTCCAGCCCAGGTGAAAAAAACCAGAAAAACAGCTTGCCCGAGAGCTATTTTCCGACTCAAAGCTCAGGGAGGATGGAAAGTAGCTGGGTGTGTTTTATTCCCAAAAGAATCAGACTTCTTGCCAAGGGCAGGGCAGAGGCAAGGGGTGTGTGCTCAAATTGGGGCTTTCCTCTTCGTGGAAGCCTTCCTGGCATCTCACCAAGTCACTGGCGCCCCGTCCCCCGGGTGCCGGCCAGAGCTCAGGGCTGGGGACTCGGCTGTCTTCACCCACCGCGGCCCCCACTCTCACGCCGCGCCACGGCAGGTGCTCAGGAACTGCTCGGCTAGCTGCAGTGGCTCCCGGCAGGAGAGACAAACAAAAAGAAAACCCCAAAGCCACCGCAAGCTCTACCTGCAGCCACACACCCCCTCACCAACCCTGCGCCAGCCGCGGCGAGGTTCTCCAGGTGCCCCGGGAGGTTGCTCCAGGGGACCCCGCCCCCGTTGCCCACCCGCGTCCCCTCCTCCCCGTGGCGACCGGGATTTACCGCCATGGTGAGTGCGCGGGGCGAGCGCAGGGACGCCTCCGCCTGCTCGGGTCTCCTCGCGCCGAGTGTCTCCCGCAGCCGCCGCGATCGCGACCCGGGCCGCGCGGATCACATGGCCCGGCAGGCGGCGCGCGGGCGCCTGGGAGTTGTGGTCCCCACGCGCGCCCCACCCCGGCGGCCTCGGGCGCGCACCCTGGCCGGGACCCACTCGCCCAGCCAGGTCCTCGCCGCCCGCGGCGCCGCGTCTCCCGGGTCGCAAGCAAACGGGGGCGCCTGCTGTGTCGGTCTTGTCCCTTACTGTTTTGCGCTTGACTTCGTCAAGCAATCATAACAATGTTTATTGCTCTTTGCAATAAATCACGCCGCGCTTAGCACAGGTTGAGTTGAAAATTGAAAAGTCCATCCTATGGACATAATAGCAACAAATTTGGAGGAAATTAAATCAAATATGCCCCAGACTTTTAATGTAGTCATTAAAAGATAATTACATTTTTTTCTTTTTCTATTTCAAAAAAATCTTTTCCAATCTGGTAAGCAAAGAGCAATATAATGTTGTAATTTTAATTTGTTTTTCTTTGATTGAAAGGGTAGTAAACTTTTTTTCTTACTGGTATTTGCATTTTCCTGTATTGCCAATCCCTTTCATTGATCCAGTTTTTTGGGGGGAAGTATTTTGGAGGGACTTTTAACAGTTTTTAATTCTTGAATCTATTTAGTAACCCTTTGCCAATCATCCTATAAGTAAAGGAGCTCCTCAAAGAAACTCTACTAGGGACAGTGTTAGGATACACACTGAGCCTGGAGCCAACCTTAGTTCAAATTCAGAGCCATTGGCTTTGGGACCTTAGGCAAATAGCTTTTCCATTCTGAGCCTCAGTTTCCTGGTCAGTAAAAGAAAAATAATAATAGAACCTATGTCATAGGAGTATTGTAAGGTGTCAGTGAAAACATACGTGTTAAATTCTCGGCATAAAACCTGGCAGCGGGAGCTTGCTTGATAAATGGTAGCCATTGTCATCATTAATGGCAAAGATTTCCTTCCTACGAAAGGAAGCTGTCTGCCAAAGGTCAAGCCAACTCCTCAAGCTCACACGGCTTCTGAGAGCCTCAATCTGAAAACTAACGGGGGTTAGTGAGCAGTCACAGATTGGGGCAGCCTCAGGGAGAGAACACGGGCACAGCCACCGTGGTGGGTCGAGGTCGGGAGGGAGGGCTGCGGTCCTGGATGTGCCAGGTGGTTGGGAAGCAGTGGGAGAAAGGTTAAGCACGTCCTTGAAGCATCTGGCTGCCAAGAGCTGGGGAGGGGTTTGGGGATTTGGATGTGCTTTCTCTCCTCTCTGGACCTTAACCGGAAAGCAGGAGTGAGAAGATTCGACCTCTGCACAAGCTGGAGCTCCTTTGCAACACAGCCTTATTCATTTGACTGTTTTCGTTGGCTTTGTCACAATCTGATGACCTTCACACTTAGTTCTAACTTCCTCATGGGTGTTTTGGTTGCAACACTCAGCCCTAAGAGGACTTTAAGTGCCCGTTTCTTTCTGAGCCACCGGAGAGCCCCCTCCTCTACCCGCTAGGCAGAGAACTTGGTGCAGACCATAGGATCCTAGCTCATAAAATCACACCACAGCTGCCCTAGCCTCAGTCCATGGCAAGAGATTCTTTCCAGATTTTGTGTTTTGACAGCCTGTGGACTCCCCTCCTCTCATGGAACAACAGAGAGTCTGTCATTGACTTTCCAGCACATACGCAGAGCCCCTGGAACAGAATCCCTAGTTAAGAATGATGGTGCTTGCCTTGGGTTGTCATAGAGATCATCGAGGGGCCCTTTAACCTGGGTGCCGAGCTCGTAGTCAGTTGGTGGAGGGGAAATCCGACCAGTCATTTCTCCTTCTGAACGAAGTTCAATAGAGGAACTTGAAGTCTTACAGAAAAACCACATGCACAAAATGTAATTCCTGCAGGATATCAGGCCTTTCTGTGGCTGTGTGACCCCAAAGATGCCACTGCCCCTCTCTGGGCCCCAGTTTCCCCATCTGTACAGTGAGGGATGGAATGGATGACCTGTAACTGCCCCTTCACATGCTGCTGATCTGCAGTTGTAAGTGGGCTTGAAGGTGGAGTCAAACGCTTTAGGGCCAGGACTTTCGCGTGTTTTCCATGCAGCTCCATTCAGCTAGCCTCCCATGTCCTGCTACATGTTACCATGTTATTTTACATTTAGGCTATGAGTAGTATTATGTATCCAATGTGTGTGGCACAGGGAGAGTGTGCACATCCAAGGTTGGCCAGAGTGTCGGGACAGTGGGTATGTGTGTGTGCAGGACCGTGATTAGCGGACTTTCTGCTGCTAAGGTGGGAGAAAGCAGGAGCCAGGCCACCAACAACCCAAAGGCCATGTTTAAAGTCAGGAATTTATTCTCAAACAAGGAGGAACCACCAAAGGGTTTTTAATATGTTTTTCTCCCTGCATTTTTTTCCTTTTCTTTCCCAAATGTCGCTCTCCTAGTGAGGCCACCCTGACCTCCCCATTTAACACTGCAATCTTCCTTGTGTCCCTGGTCCCACTTACTCTGCTTTATTTTTCCCTGTAGTAGGTATCACCTTGTAGCATGCTAGTTATTAATAATACATTTATTCATTATTCCTTCCTCTCCATTCAAATGGCAGCTCACCGAGAACAGGGATTTCTGTGTTTTTGTTCAGGAATGCATCCTTACTCTCTAAAACAGTGCATGGCACATAGTAGATTGTCATGAATATTGGTCGAATGAATGACTGAAGCCAAGTAGGCAGCCATTCCATGCTTCATTGCTTCAGAGGAGGGAAGTGGCAGAAATAGAAGCAGCCTCTGAGACATGATGGTTTTTTTTCCCCATAAGCGTTGTGGCCAGTTTGGGGTGGTTTTGGGGAAAATGAGAAGATAAATTACGGAGAAGCAGGAGGAAGAGCAGCTTCCCCCTACCCTGCTGCCCCCACCTGAGATACCTGAACCTAGAGGAGGGAGCAAGAACTGAGGGTCCTAGAGCAATGGGCCTGGGCCAGCTTTGGGCAGGGTCACCAGGAGAGGCCCCAGAAGGAATGGGGCAGGGTGAGGCTCAGCAGACAGGACAGAGTACACCATGTCCTATGCTTGGTGTGGGGAAGGAGCAGCAGAAACACCCAGAGGCCTTGCAGCCTGGGACAAAGATAGCAAACCCAAGCATAGCCCTGTCTCATAAGCTCAGACCAGGGGGAGAGAAACAACCAGTCATCCAAAGAAACAATCAATCCATTTAGAAGGGGCTAAAAAAGGGGGAGAGGACTTCTTCAGAAGCCCCAGCCTTAAGTCGTGAGGTCTTAGGAAAATTTATGCAGAAGCGAGGCAGGTCAGGGACAAGATCCTGGCAGATATCCTGTCCTCTGCCCTCTCCCTTGTCACTTCCTGGGCCTTGAATGTCTTTCACTGCTCACCGAAGGCAGTTAGATGGGCCTGTTTCCTCTTGTGTCGACATCCAGCTGGGTCTACATTGACAATTTCCCCTGTAGCCACTTTCCTTCTATTTGCAAAGGCTCTTGCTGTCTCCTCGGATCCTTGCAGCAATGCTGGGACCAGAAAGAGGTGACCACCCTAGAGAGGGAGTGGGACTCACTCAGGATCTACCATGAGTCAGTGACAGCTCCATGCCACCCAACTTGCCCCAGCCCAGCACTGTGGCCAATTCCAGAGGGCTGTGAGCAGCTGTGGCAGCCTCAGACTCGCATGGCTCAGACTAGCCTCAGACTAGGATGCAAGAGGAGCCCCCAACTACAGTGAGAAAAGGGGCAGCCCCTGGCCCTGGAGAGGGCTGGACATTTTGCCCAAATGTTTCTTAGACACTTCCTGGAATAACCCCAGACAGGACCTTGAGACCCCATGCTTCACCTGTGTGGTGGTTTTAAAACTACAAATTCTTTGACATTCCTCCATCTCTGGGATGGGAGGCCACTAGGCCAACCTTACTGATCAACTTACAACCAGTAAATCCAGCAAAAGTGATGCTACACAGCATCTGAGGCTAGGACATAAAAGGCAATGCAATTGTGCCAGATGGAAACAGTTGTGGAGACTGGTTGCACAACAACGTGAATGCACTTAACACTACTAAACCGTACATTTGTCATGGCTCATTTCCTTTTGCTGGAAAAAGAAAAAAAACTGTACACTTAAAAAGGGTTGAGATAATAAATTTCACGTTATGTGTGTTTTACAACAATTTAAAAAAATCAGGCACCATTCATACAATCGAATATTATTCCCACATAAAAATGAATGAAGTACTGATACACGCTACAACACAGATGAATCTGGAAAACATATGTTAAGTGAAAGAAGTCAGTAACAAAAGGCCATGCGTTATAATATATGATTGCTTGTATATAAAATGTGTAGAGTAGGTAAATCTATAGAGGCAGAAAGTAGACCATTGTTTTCCAGGGGCTGGAGGAATGCAGAAATAGGAAGTGACTAGTAATGGATATGGGGGGAGCAGGTCTGAGTGATGAAATGTTCTGAAATTAGACAGTGGTGATGGTCGTACTATACTAAAATCGTACACTTTAAAAGGGGGAGTTTTAGAGTTATAAATTATATCTCAATAAAGTTATTTTTTTAAAAGGGCAATGCAGTTTTCACCTTGTACATTAGGTCTTTCACCTTCAGAGCTCTGAGCTGCCAAATATAAAACCTTTGAATTCTCTGAGGCCACCATGTTGTGAGGAAGCCCAAGCCACAAAGAGAGGCTGCAGGGAGGCGCTGCCGTTGAGAGCCTGATGGATCTCCCAGCGGTCAGCCGGCGTGAATTGCTACCCTGTGAGTGGTGCCATCTTGGACGTCCAGCCCGGTTGAGCCTGCAGAAGATGCAGCCTCAGCTGACATCTTAGTGAAATGACATGAGGGACTCCCAGCAGGAACTGTCCAGACAAGTCCTTCCCAAATCCCCATGCCACAATATCTTTAGCAAAACAAAATCGGTGTTTTAAACTAAATTCGAAGGTAATCTGCTAAGCATCAATAGAGAACCAGAACACTTATAATCCAGCAGATTTCTTCTTCATCCTTTGAGTTCATTTAGTGGAGGTAAGATGAGG